GTAAAACCGCACCGCGTTTAACGATCGCGGAGAAGATGAAATAATGACGACGTGGGATTTGGCTCGAAGATTTTTTTCAGTGAGAAAGGTCTTCGAACTTTCGTTGGAAGGAGAGAGAGGAATTTCGTTGAATTTTTCCCAAATTATCGAATATACAAAATTGTATGAAACGATGTTTTGAAGAGAATATACAGGTGAACAGGCAAAGGCAAGCAACACGCCTCTCGCGGAAGAGGCTCGGTCAGAGATACTTTCACTTCCAAATCAGGCGAAGGTCATAGGTTCTCGCGCGTTATTCGGTTAAAAATAAAGTTGACGTAACCCGTGTCAGAAACAGTGACAATCGGTGGAATAAGAGAGAATTCTCGATCTATCGGCGAAATATCGATAAAATTAAAAAAAACGCTATTCTCTCTTAGCAAGTTTAAGACTTAAGACTTAAACTTAAGAATCGTTGTTCCTTTTCGTTTCGTTTCATACAGATACGATACGATGCAGATGTGTTATAAAACGCGAGAAAAAAAAAAGTAGTTGAATCTGCGTTTCTTGCGACTAATTATAGTATCGCGTCACGCACCGTCCTTTGCAATCGTGAACGCGTTGAATACGTTTACGTATTTACCGATAAATCCTGTTTGCGTTCCAATTATCACTAGTAAGGTTCGAACATGTACGTTTCTCTATCGTTCCACGAATAGTTTCTCATATTTTTTTCTAATCTGTCTAATAAATGAATAATTATTGTAGTATCTATACATTTGTAATATTTATAGTACGAGTTCGTTTCGTAATCCCGTCTGAAAAGATAAGTAGAATAAAATTTGTTCGTTCGAAGATTTCGCGGTCGTAAATCGAGTTTGGAAATTTTTCAATTATAATTGAATCGTTGCTATATGAAAATAAGTAAGCGATAAAATCTTATTTTTTTTATTTTTCCAAAAAATTATAGAGATTATAAATATATACGCAGTTCGAAGAAGATGAATTTTCTATCTCGCTACATTATTCTTTATCTCTTTTTTTACATCCAATTACTTCTTACCGATAACTCATTCATATCTATAATCCTAAAAAAATATCCAATTCTTTTTGACAATTTTTCAAACTTCTTTCACCAATTGAAAGAATTGAAGCAACAGCCTGTACACATCGAAATACAACGTCAGTTTTCTCTCATCGACTCTAACGACAAGTCGTAAACATTTCCGTCCACGGGTTCACGAATGTTTAGCAGAAGGCGATCGTATAATCGTTTTCGAGCAGTTCTCTCATAGAGGCGACAATTTCGACCTCTACGGCTAGTAAACAACCATCGACCGAATGGAAAACTCGCACACACACATATACACGACTCTCGTCGACTCGTGCGCTCGGTTAATAAGAGTCAACGGAATATTGAGCGGCGTGTGTCGTGTGCACATTGCAATCACCTGTAATCGACTCGAATGGGGCAAAGCGTGTATGCAAAGCGATAATGATCGCGTGGAGGTTGGCCAAGTTCGCGGATGATCTCATCCCGATTTTTTCTTCGATCGAGTAACGATCCGTCACGCTCGTTAGTTTGAACCGACTTGCCAACCTTTGACCCGATTCCAAAGCGTTCCATTGTGTTTATCTCCTCGAGCACGAAACGACCGTTGATCGACGTCGAAGAATTTTCGACGAATTTTAAGAGTCGTGTCTTTTGCGAGGATTGCGATTTCAATTTGCACGCTCGTTTCCTTTCCAACGCAACACGTAACGAACAATTACCTTGGAACACGGTGACCATGTTTGGATGTGATGTCATCGGCCGTCGGTAAGCTGTGCAAATGCGGAACCAATTGAATTTCATGCCGCGATCTCCTCGCGGTCCCTCTTACTTGACCTCCTATATTGGTTTCGTTGTCTGCCACACGTTTTACGTATCGTTCGTTTCGACCATGTTTTTTTTTCTCCCTCCCCCTTCTCCTCTTTCGAAGCGCAACTCGCGATCAATGTATAAATACGTGTTTACCGTGATGAATTATCGGTACGTGTAATATCCTAACTCGTGAATGATGTCATCGTTCGAGACCAATGGAATTTCAAGAATTGCGTATTTGTTTGTCTAACCTTGCTCAGATTGATAACGACGATATTTACGACGAATCTATGCATAGGATTTGACAGAATTTCTCGTTAACGAAGGTAAACATCGCGTCGTGTTGTACTATTTGCGCGTAAATAGTAATCAACGATGACACGCCAAGATATCGTTTCGATCGATTGAAATTATTATCGCGTCATTTATAATTATATCCTTTTTAACTTTTTGCTTCTTCTCATTTATATATATAGCTTGTATATATAGCGCGTGCGCAATCGTTTTTTTTTTNTGTACAAAGTATGATTCTAATCTACTTTTTACACGACTATTTCGCCGAAAGTTG